TTTTGAAAAGAAGTATTGGAATCATTCCACATAGTGTGTTCTTATTATATCAAAACAATCAAAACAGATTCAGTTCTATAACCATGAAATCTTTCATCTCAAAAACCATTGCTAATGGTTCATCAGATTTTGTATTCTAAATGAGTGAGATACCACTCGGTGACATACAAATAACTACACATTTTAAAGTAATCAATGTTTTTATCACTGAATCACTATCGAAAATTCTACAGTGGACTTTTTAAACAGTTTATCTTCAGATGACAAACTTTTGCATACCCGAATTGGAGTGTTCCTCTACAGCATCTCAGTATTCATTATTTGTGTAATAGTGTTCAAACAACATCATAACTACTCCTTCTTAATAAATTATACATCAATTAATAACTCTCTATCAACTTTATTTATATACGTGCTTCATTCACGTAGTCTATCTCTCAGCTGTCAAATGCAGTGTGTGACAAATTGAATCACACCAGTATCATATAATCCATTTGCGTATCACAAAACGTTGGGATCTTTCTATCGTTTGAAATTGAGTTTGTTTAACAGCATCTTTCCCAAAGTCCTTTTTACACCTGTCAATCGAAATGAGTTTTTGCTTTCATTTCCTCATCCTAAATCTTACTGAAGAGAATGTGGAGTATCCTTGCAGTTACTGCTACGTCTGCTATCAGTGCCTCTGCTGGAATACTGTCTGGTCCTGCTGCTTTGCCACTCTTGATTTGTCTGATGGCCATGCTGATTTCTTCAATTGTTGGTGGGCCAACATCGATTGGGAGGTCCGTGGGTGCTGCTTCGATGTTGGGTGGGTTCAGTGGGGGCTGGTCGGTTCAAGAGTTCTATGAAGTGTTCTACCCACCTGTTTCGTTGCTCTTCAATGTTGGTGATTACCTCGCCTTCCTTGCTTTTCACTGGTCGTTCTGGTTTGCGGCGATTTCCAGAGAGTTTCTTTGTCGTGTCATACAGTTGTCTCATGTTTCCTTCTCTTGCAGCCTTTTCCGCCGTCGTTGCTAAATCTTCCACATATTTACGTTTGTCGGTCCTGATGCTCCTCTTCACTTGTTTGTCTACTTCTGTGTATTCAGCTTGTGCCTTGGCTTTTTGTGCTCTTGTCCGACTGGTATTGATTGCTGCCTTCTTGTTCCTCCTTTCTAGAATCTTATCCAGTTATCAACAGTGATCCATTCCTTGTTATGGTGCTTTTTGTGACCCAGGACCTCATGACATCTTGAAGTGATTGCCTCTTTGATCCCCTTCCAGTTGCTCTCCATAGTAGTTCCTTCTCCATTGAGTAGATCATGAAAAGCCTGGAACTTGTTGCTGAGGACTATCTTGAATTTGTTGGGTTTTTCAGTATCCTGAAGAAAGGCCGTATTGAACTTTTGTGATGTTGTCCGCCCCATTGTCTAGTGCTTCTTTAGTTTCAATTTCATCTTGGCGACCAGCAAGTGATGATCTGATGCTATATCAGCTCCTCTCTTGGTTCTCAGGTCTTCCATAATCCTACTGAACTTTTTGTTGATGCAGACATGGTCGATTTGGTTTTGTGTAGTGTAATCCGGTGAAGTCCATGTGGCTTTATGAATGCACTTATGTGGGAATATGGTGCCGCCTATGAGCAGTTTATTGAAGGCACATAGATTTGCAAATCTCTCACCATTTTCGTTTCTTTCTCCCAGTCCGTGTCGTCCCATGATGTCTTCATATCCAGTGTTGTCCATTCCAACCTTGGCATTTAAATCTCCCATCAGAATGGTCAGGTCCTTTGTTGGGCAGTTCTCGATGATTGACTGCAGCCTATTGTAGGATTGGTCTTTATCGTCTACATTGTAGTCGTTGGTAGGCGCATAGCATTGGATGATGTTCACTGAAATGCCCTCTTTCTTTGTTTTGAAGGAGGCTTTGATGATCCTTGGTCCATGAGATTCCCATCCTATAAGTGCATTTTGTGCTCGTTTGGACAGCATCAATGCAACTCCTTGTGTATGTGGGGCATTTTCTGGAACTGATTGTGATAGAATTTGACGCAAGAACCAAGGAAAGTATGTAATTGACAGATGTGAATCTTTCTTATCATCCATAGGTGACCAACCCATCACCTCATTTTCCCGTAATTTGATCGACTTTCTCAAACTCGTCTAATGATGCAATGGCCTCCGTTCATTATATTAAAATTGTATACCTTAAGGAATGAGCTCTGAAACTCATCGAATTCTCTTCGGTTTATCAAGTTGAATATTAGATAACATCAAGTTATATCATTTCTATTACACCTTGTAAATGTTTCTATAAAATATCTTGTTATTTTCATAATACCTGAGTATATTATATGAGTGCCTAATTAACAAACATACTTCTGTTGACCTCAATTATTTGTAGAAATATCAATGATTATACTTTCTTTTTGTCTATCACCATATTCTTCCCAATTAATCAAGTTAATTGATATTCCTTATTGTATATTGAGCGTAATATGAATATCAGTTAGAATAAACAATGTCACTCTCTAATAATATTCTAATGTAACTGATGATCACCTATGCATATAGAACAAAGATTGATGAAATCTTCATTTTACAAATGGTTACTATTTTTCTATAAATAAAATGAAGTGAAAACAAATATTTAATGCGTCATTTCGAAGAAGGTCTTGCTTCAGCTATGAATAAACACTGTAATTAATCACCATCTAATTTCAAATAGGTTTAGTGATTGATGTCCTACAGAATCATTTAGTTCTCGCGACCTTAGTATTACAATCTAAGGGACTTCCATTATTAGTCCTGATGCTTTTAGACGTGACCAGTTGATACCTTCCATCTGTATTTACCACGAGACTGTGCTCAATCATCCTGATAACAAATTTCACATCACGTTCTGTGTATTGTTTTATATCAATCACCATGACTGATAACCTATTCGATACCCAACGATCTGGATAGATACACTTGACTGTTGACGAAATGTATGTTTGTACTGAATATTGATTTAAGTTGGATATGGTCGTTAGGTGAAAGCGATCAAATTTTACAGGAAATTAAAAACATTTTGGACATCATTTGGTATTAAAATTCGTCTTAATTTTGCAACAGAATTGAAGTGAATTTCTCCGTAAGGAACCATTCGTAGTTTGATATTTTAATAGTATGTCAGCTATGTCTGTCTTGACAATTCCAAATTCATACATTTAGCTGATGTTATTGAGGAGATATTTTAATTGAATTAGACAATGATCGGTGTTTATAGTCTGTCGGTGGAAATCCGTGGTTGGTACAAGTCAGTTGAGAGCACTCTCAGTTCTGAGGAGACCAATACATCTCGTGTGATCTAAACTCATAGTATTGAATGCAACAATTATTATCACACGAATATAGGTAAAAAAATACTTTTTTTCAGTTGTAAGTATAGGGCTGCAGATATTATGGATTTTCATCGGAGTCATAAACCTATCCATGTTTGAGCACCATTGAAAATGTGTGGACACTCGATGACCGTTCCGTCCTACTAGAGTAATCCCCAGCAGTGTACAGCCACGACCGGAACATGGAAACGAAACTCGGGGTCTTCTATCTTGTACTCAAACACTTAACCGTTAGGACACTAATTCAGCATCTAGTAGCAATAATGTTTTTTCAATTAGCTTCTTAAAATAGAATTCCACCTGGAACCCCTATTGGGCTACTGCCGGTCCCACTAGCATTCCCCAGCCAACTCTTCCCTGGATAATCCTTTCCAGTTGCCATCCATCCTTTTCATGTCTGCTTCGTCCTCCTCTTTCCATTTTGTTTTCAGGATTCCAATTTAGCGTTTGTCTTGTGATACAGCTTGATGATTTCTGTAATGTATATTCTATCCATTTCCAACGTCTTTGCTTAATTTTCCCTGGTTTGTTCGCTCTCATAGTAGGTTGTTGCTCAAGGTATCTGAAACATGATATTAATATTAAAAAATTCTTCTTGTAAAATTATTACTTGACAACTATTAATAGACCTTCAATTTTAGTTAATTGTAGTATTTAACAATGAGATTTTATATCGAAATAAGCAACTATTCACAATAGAACATCATAAAATTGTTTCCTTAAAGTGAAAGGATGATTTTATGCTTGAGTATATTTTCGAATCGATTATAATTAAGAAATTTGTCATATAGGATTATTTCTACTGTGAAATATGTACAATAAATGAAAACTTACCATTTAATATGTACATATTACCATATTTGGGATGAACCCTACTTCTGCATATAATAGAAATAGTTAATATTGTCTAGATGAACAACGAAATCTCTGCAATTTAACTCAGAGGACACCCAAAAGTACCCCAAACTATTTTGATTAATAAACACTGTTTTTAATATTTTAATATTTTCATGGATTGGTTGAGGTTAGACATTAACACTGTCGGATGACGGCCAGCTCAATGGTCTAGAGGTTAAGCGTTCGCGTGTACGATTCAAGGCCCTAGGTTCGAATCCAGTGAGCAGAGTCTTGAATGCGCACTGTTGAAGAGTCTCACAATTAGACGAAACGTCCATCTAATACTTCCAGGTTTCCATTGATGGTCTAACAACAATCGGTTCATGATCTCAATTAAAAATATTTTCTTATCATTATGTTAGAAAAACACAAACATTAAGGTCATTCTTTCTATTTGTGTTTCTGTTTTTGTACATTGAAATGACCTTAAAACATTATCTCACATAATTCATGAAATTATATAAATTAAATAGAAACATATGTTTTCTTATCTCAGTTAGTAGAATGCTGTTTTTAGGCTATTTTTTTCTCCATATTTTACTTATGATTAAAAAATAAATAATAAAAAATAAAAAAAAAGAAATGAGAGGGAATTTTGACTTCTGTCTTTCTTATTATCGTTGTAACTATGTTTACCCCCCCCCAAAAAAATAACAAATAACAAATAACCATTTCTGATTGGCTAATTATATCTAAGCTTATTATTGGTTGATACCCATATATATATTAGTAATCAACTATACTCTTTAAGTTTATATCAAATTACCAATCATAAATAGGATATATATTTGGATCGATGATCATTATCCCTTATTTTTAATAGAAATATATAGGAAAAGGGAAGGGGGGTGGGGAGGTAAGGGATTAATGTATATCCTATTCTCATAGTTTCGTTGACTATGTAACTTATTTCAAAACTAAGTTGTTATATTGTATGTTGTATAATTAAGTCTATTTAAATCGATAAATAGAAAAATGTCAGTAAATAAAAACCATCTGTTTTATAATTTAGTAGTATTTCTCTTTTGCTCTCTATCACTTTTTTTTTATTAAAAAGATTAATTAAATCATTAAACATGCCTGAAGAAACAGAAATTAACAATGGGATAACAGAGAATAAAACTGTTGAAACAACAGAATTAATAAAGGAAAATGTGATTGTTTCAGAGAAAGAAATTAAAACTTATAAATGTGTAACTCTTGGAGCATTTGGTGGTTCAAAACATATTAGAATAGATATGAATGAAGTGAAATCAGTAGGGAAAAATGAAGTTGCTATTGATGTACAAGCATGGTAAGTAATTAAATTTTTTATATCAGAGTAGTCATTTGAAGAGTTCAAGTTTATTTTGATTGATTGATAAGTTTGCTAGTGTAGCAACTGTTAAGTTTTATAGTTTATATCATGAATGGATCTTATTGCAATGATTACTGAGAACTGGGAGACACTGGATAGCTGTTTCGTTTAAGTATAGGGGTTTATCAACAATGCCCGACCACAATTGGAATAAAATCTGAGACATACAGGTCTCGCAGTGGGGGAATTGCTTAGTGTTTGACATGGTTGTAGTCTATTTTTGTGAAATTTAAGCATGTTTATCGATTTTTAATTGATTTGTAGAAACTTTGGTTTTAAATGATCGGGTTTTAAAGTTAGTTGTGTTTCCTGTATTTACATACAGTGTCGATATTATTTCTAGAAGAATTTAAGATATATAATATAGTATTGAGGAGATAGCTAATTAGTTAAAACTCTCAATATCTCACCATTAGGTAACAAGTTATATGAGTGTTACATTTACATAACTTTACCAACTCTATGGTTAGATAGAAAAAGTGGCTACGTGAACAGTTCGTGGTAAGAGACTTGAAAAAATGACGATATCCCTATCATTTCATTACAATTGATTGGTTATAGTCTAAGAGATTATCGATCTCAATGATTTGAGTTGTTATCATAGATAGTTCAAAATAAAAGCCAATGAAAATGATAATGTAGTTTTTAATAAAATTATTTCTCAAAACGAAATGAACTCAGTTAACTAAATGAAGTCTATTTTTGAGTATACCTTTTAAATCAATTTGTTTAATAAAATTTTCATTGAACTATAAACAATGTATAACTAAATCTGTCATATAAAACGACGGTTGTCGTCAGTCATGATACTTTGAGAAATGTACATATTTAATGAGATCAAGATATTTTCAAGAATGTCTATGAACATTTTTAAATAATGAATATTATTTGTAACGAAATTTAATATTCAGCTTTAGGTAGGTATCATATTTGCTGGGGGAATATGAGAAGCACTAAGTGAGAGGAACTGTAAGTGAAGAGAACTGTAATGAGAAAAAGTAAGCTGACGACACATAGAATGCACTTACCTTTAATAATGAAAGCAATGGGCAACAATTAAAAATGCGGTTTAAGATAATCTGATAATTCAAACTAGAATTTGACAGTGTAAAATTTTGGATACTTTACAAAAGCGATACCTTAGATATACAGTAATGTGACATTAGTTTATAAGGATACGTAATAAATGTTTTCGTATAACTATCTTATAACGATAACTATGACCCTGTTGCATTTTACGTTTCGATAATGTAATAAGAAGACGAAGATTATTAGAACTTCTCATTACATTATCGAAATTCATCAAAAGGACTAATTACTTTACATTTTACGTTGTTATAAGTCAATCACAACGCAGATAACGTTCATGAATAATTAATTTTTCAAAAATAAACAATGATTAAGATTAGGAATTGAGGAAAAATGCCGTGAAAATTAACGAATAAATATTTACGCAGTTAAATTCACTTGGTATTGAAATGCAGATACATTCAGCTGATGAGTCCCAAATGGGACGCAACGCGTGTCTTTGATTCCATTGCTAGCCACCATCCATCTTTGCTTCTTTACGCAGTTCATCTTTTTGACTTCAAATCCCAAATCATTTATAGAAAATGTATAATTTATTTCGGTAAACGTTTATAAATCTCAATAGTCAAGGGAAGTAAAGATTAAATACCATACAATTATCATTAATAGATATGATATAAAGTTTAGTGAATAGACATGTTATGAAAGATATAATATCTGTATATGTGTAAACCAATGTTTTACGTTTCATCAATGAAATTAGAGATAATCTAAATAAAAATTAAAAGGTAATAACGAATACAGTGAGATATTTCACTGCTGTTATAATGACCATACCGATATAGCGAATATTAGAAACATATGTCATACGGAAGAATAATGACTATCATAAATTCCTTACTCAGAACTAGTAACTATCGAATAGTTACCATGTTGAGATTTATTCAGGTCTCTCAAGATTAAATATTGGATAAGTATAACATTAATTAGTATCTAGATATCACTCAATGTATTTACAATAGATAGATAAATTTCAAGTCAAATGATCTTGTTAATGATAGTTTCACACTAGGAATTCTTTGTAGCTACTACCAGGTAATACATCTTTACATGAAAAATGTTGATAGACTTATATATTGAACTACTGAATAGTATTTGTGTTCTTAATCAAACGTGCAGGATCATACAAATATCTTGTATATTATTAATAAATTTTGCATATCGGACATTAAAACTGATATCATTATTTTTGTTGTTATCTAGTAAGAACTAGTAACTTCTATTTTCATAGACTTTTAGGTCACGAAATGATCTTAGTTAGACCACCGTTCAAAACCTCGAAGCAATAGACGATCAGTTCGGCCTAGAGCAGGAAATCTCCGCAGTGTATATACACGACTGCACATCTTAAAATGAAATCCAGGATTGTTGATCCCGTATACAAACTCTTAGTCTCTAGACCTCTAAGCTGGGATTGGGCAGGATTAATGTCTAATGTATCTGACAGGTCAATGTCTCAGACGAGAGGTAGTGGATGTTCAGTGCTAAAAAGTCCTGTATTAAGATGAAATGGCTGTCCAGTGCTCTCAGTTTTTCAATGGTAGTCTCAGATCGGTTTGGTATATAAATTCTATAGTTTTCACAAAGCAACTAAAGTAATAATTTCTGTTTGGTTTAACTTTAAAACTTATTTAGCGGTATCAACTTTCTTGATATAATGACAAGACAAGGTCTTATTGATCAAGCAATGAAACCTCCATTCATTTTGGGATCTGAATGTACTGGAATTATTAGTGAAGTCGGTGAAAAAGTGACAACTTATAAGGTAATGTTGAAATTATTCCATTCGTTTTATTAATGAATATAGAAACATTTAGTTGTTAAGATAATTTTAAACTGTAGATTAGTTTAATTTGTTGGTTGTATTCGTCACAGATTGGTTCTAGATGTGTAAGTAAAACAGTTATTATAAATGATGTTAAGAGATCGTCTCTCTATAATGTAAAGTGATTGAAATTAGAATTTCTATTGTTGAATTTAACTTTATTGGTTTTAATAGTTTAATGTTTATCGCAATACCTGAAGGTTGTAGGTTTAATCCTTGATAGAGTATTTAGTGTTCAACTGATTTTTAATGATATCTGAACTAAGATCATTCTGTGATGAATAGAACTTTCGAATTTTGAGTGTTATCATTATTTTAATTACTTAGTTGGGTCAAATGTAAATTTTAAGAGCACTTAATTGATGAGAGGTATTCTACTAGTAATGATTCGTTAATGTACTGCAATAGATCAATCTTTGATATTATTTTTGAATTATGAGGAGTAATTCTATGGTCTAGACTTGAGTTATAAGTTCTTAGTCCATTTGTTATATGGCCAATAATGAAATTCAGGAAGCGTGTGCAGTCTATAGAGACATTCAGCTGACAACTATCCGAAATCAAAACGAAACACGTGTCCTTGATTTCAGTCATGAGTATATAGTATATGTATAATGAATAAGTATTCCATTTGCTGAACCGGGAATGAAGGTAGATATGAAGAGAATGAATAGCAATTGTGAATAAAGGAAAGAAGAGCCTAGGACAGAGTTAGTTGGAAATCTCCAGTTTTTGGCCTATGCTCCACGAGGAGTAACAAGTGTAAATAAATTGTGATTGTGTTGTAGTTTTTGTCAAAACAGATAAAGTTTTATTGACTGAGAGATGTTGTTACGAGTGCGAATTGTATTAAGAATATGAAGATGAGAGGTATCTAGTCTCATTAAATCAATAGATGACATCTGGTATTTGAATTTGATGGCTTAAGTGTGAGCTTTAAAATTGAGGTGTGGGTGCAAACAGTTGAAGAGTCACAAAAAGGTTGAAAATGAACGTTCTGAATGCATCAGCTTTTCATACTCATCTATTCTCACTAACTGAAAGGTTAAAGATTGTCTGGTCATAATTTTATGTTGCATATCCATGAAAGAATAAGTGTATCTTAGGTCAGATTTGAGATTTTCTATGGTTTAGGAGATTATCTGATGATTAAGTGTAATCCTATGTTATCGAAAAGATCGTTGATCGTTATGGGATTGAATTCATGAACTTCAAGTGTCATCGGACAGTACTTTTTTAAATTCAGTTTACTTGACATATATCATAATCCTTATTCGATATAGTATAGTGGTTTAGCATCTCATTTTAAATATATATCAATCACTACAGAGCAATTTGAAGGAATAAACGTTTGAGAAATCCAGTACAATGTTAGTCGCACGTATGGATGTGATGACTGTTTGTTATGTAACATTGAATTTTGATGAATATTGCATGTGAATGTGAATTTCTACTTGACAAATAATTATACTTACTTTATGATGAACACTTCACTCATAAAGTATTTTATTTATTTCCAATGAACTCGTGATAAGATGTATTGTAAAAGAATATTTTTAGTCTTAAAAATGTAATGTTTACAGAAATTGATTTATAATAGACACCAACTATCTATGATCAAATAGTGTTGAATAACTGTTTCACAACAATATAACCTACCAATTAATGTCATATCTGAGATCTGTTACATGCAGATCTTGTGTAATAAACAAAGACTTGGTGGGTTAAGTCAATTTATTTTTTTTTTGGTGTAATATCACATAGTACATTTGTAAAATATGAGAATCAAACAATAATGACATCATTTGCACATCTTCCTTAATTTATCCTTTACATACTTCATTATCCTTTTATTTCTATTTTTATTTCGATTGGTCTCTGTTTACTTCTCTCTTTTCTCTGTTTTCATCTTCTGATGATAAACAGTCCGTTTTCAATTCTTATTACATACTACCTACAGAACTCTTATTATAATTTATTATTTTATTGGTTAAATTCACGAGTCAATTAAAACTAGACCACCATGGAAAACTTGGAAGTACTGGACGGTTGTTTCGTCCTATCGTGCGACTCCTCAGCAGTGCACATCCACGATTCCGCCTCACCGGATTCGAACCCAGGACCTGACAGTCTCGTGCGCGAACTCTAGATTACTGAGTTAGCCGGCATCTAATGGTGGTGATGTCTAATTTCAACTAATCCACGAAATCGCGCCACCGTCCATCACTGTCTTTGGTGAGTTACTATCTCACAATAGACTCAGTGGAATTCCACTGGTCACGGCTTCTCACTAAAACTCCAGGAAATACCTCTTGGATACCATCGTTATTGAGCATATGATGATTATAATCAGAAAGAGGTTCAAATCTAGTGGGCGGTATCGTGGATGTGCACCGCTGAGTAGTCCCATACTAGGACAAAACAGTCGTCCGGTGCTTTCAAGTTTTCCGTAGTGGTCTAGTTTTAATTGACTCATGAGTTCAACTATTATACTACTATAATATCTACAAAATGCATTTCTGATAATTTTTTATGTTTCCAGACATAATTTAAGTTTATTATAATCAAATTAATTAAACTAATTTGTAGAGTTTTGTTTAATCTGTTATAATATAGCAAACTTAAGGAATTCAGAAGTGAAATAAAAACTATTCTTTTTGTATTTCATGTAATTCCAGTCATACATTACAGACAAATATTTTGATGATTATAAAATCCACATTTACTTCTTCGTCTAGTTCGATTGTAACATTTTTTTGAAACGTTTTCTAGTTCGCAAATAATTTTTTCAATAATTGACTTCATATGCTGAGTTAAGCTAGACCACCATTGAAAACCTGAAGACACTGAATGGCCGTTTCTTTCTAGTATGGAACTCTTTAGCAGTGTGTATTCACAATCTCATATGCGAGGCTTGAACCCGGGAACTTCGGTCTCGCAAGCGTCTGGTGGTGTTATTGTTTGACTTTAATTGATTCATCATCTTGTACAACCTTTCATCCTTCGTTCAGTGCTTCCAGGTTTTCACTAGTGATTTAACTTAAATCGACTAATGAATTCAATTACTAAGATTTCTACAATCTCCACAAACCCCCCATTCTAACAATCATATTTTTGCTAACTAATATTAATGCAACAGTGATTAGCGAAAAATCACTTAGTCACTCATTTTCAAATAAGTACATATGGCAATTTTTATTATGTATCAAAAAGTGTTTTGTGGAGATTGTAGTAAATTCAATAGTTACGATCAAAAGTCAATTGAAGCTAGACCACCATGGAAAAACCTGGAAGCACTGGACAACCGTTTCGTCCTATTGTGTGTTATTTACATGGTGAAATCACTTAGTTTAATGAAAACCTTACAATTTTAATACTGAAAACTTCAAGGTGATTAATATATATATTCCTTTTGTCTTGTTACTTTGATATAATGTGAATTATTTGACATGATTAAATTTGAATGTTAGTTAATTACCGCTTAAAGAACACCTAATATATAATTAGAGAAACGGTTTAGACTTGAGAAATTCATCAAAAGAACTGGATAAAATATACCCAATTAGAAACCAAGTTATGAAAAGGTTTGTTTTTTATTGGAAAGAGTAGAAAACTCTGTAAGACTTTTTTTGTGATTGGAGAATATTTCACCATGGTGGTTGGAGGTAGTCGATAGGAAACCCTGGACTCGGGTTTCGTGCTACTTGGCACTCGTCAGCAAGGTGTACCTGTAATCTTGAGGGAACTGATGCTCCCTGGCAGATTCAATCTCGTGTCACCCAACTTCACAGTCAGAGATATTACCACTGAGCTATCCGAGCCGCGACCGACCTCATGTAGGACTGAGATGTAATCACAATTGATTGATCACTGGGTGGCGATCGATCTCATATCTATCAAATCCTTATTAGTGTAGATCGAATGCTATCGATCATGTTGCGATGCCATATAAGTACTAGACACGCATGACATTGATCGCCACCCAGTGATCAATCAATTGTGATTACATCTCAGTCCTACAAGAAGTCGGTCGCGGCTCGGATAGCTCAGTGGTAATATCTCTGACTGTGAAGTTGGGTGACACGAGATTGAATCCGCCAGGGAGCATCAGTTCCCTCAAGATTACAGGTACACGTTGCTGAAGAGTGCTAAGTAGCACGAAACCCGAGTCCAGGGTTTCTTGTCGACTACCTCTAACCACCATCTAATCTCAATATATAGTGCCCGCAGTGTCGAGTCACCTAGACTGGTGGCCACATTGCAACATGATCGATAGCATTCGATCTACACTAATAAGGACTAGACACGCATGACATTGATCGCCACCCAGTGATCAATCAATTGTGGATATTTCACCATTTTTGCAGGTCACCAGAGTTTTCAATCAAACAAACAATAATATAAGTGTACATTCATACGACTTCAATGTATTTTTCTTTTACAGCCTTAATATTGATAGAAATGGTTTTGTAGATGTGTGCAGATTGTCTCAGTATTGCTTGTGTGAACTCAACTGAGATAGTCCATAAAGTGTTATTCGTGAACAACCATGTGATGTTTTGACTACTAGCAACTGCATGCCACGAAAATTAAGTACAATCTCATACTCTTTTCAGTCTTGTAAACATAATTTCCATTTTTCTAAATGCTAAAACGTTTGCAAGACTGGCAGGAGCATTTTCTCGGACTCCCTCGCCCATTATAAGCAATCGAGGTGTTCGTGTACCTGGGTGGTTGTGTGAGTGCTGATGGTAACGTGATTGGTGAAATCAATCTACATATAGTGAAAACTAGAGCACGTTACATCAGTCTAGGCTATTTTTGACGCTGTTGTGATGTTAGTTTGTTTTTAAAGATTTGGATCTATAACGTATCTGTTAGAGGTGTTCCACTTTATGCTTATGAATTCTGATCCTCACGGGCTGAGGAACTTCAACGAC